TACAAAGAGCTAATGAAAGCACCCCAATTATTAAAAATAAGAATAGGGGAATAATTCAAAAAGGAATCCATAAGAGCACCAATGAGAGGTCTTGAACTTAGCATAATTAAGACAATCAAGTGCCGGTCTATGCTTTCCTTTGAAGATCCTCAAATTTCTCTCGAACCATAATTCCGAAAGAAAACTTTTCACAACACTAGTCTACAAAGCCCGCACCATGGATGAAGGATGAAGAATTCCACGTAACAATTGAGGCAAATTTGCTTCTGCCCTGTAGTCCAAAGCCCAGTCAATCCGAAATTGAGAAAAAAGATAGGACCACCCAATAGCAGCATAGGAACAATGGAAAAATGATGGTTCAAGTCTTCCCCATTTTCCTTACAAAGAACGCACATAGATGGCAACAAAGTAGAAGAGGGAAGCTTTTTTTAAATAACATCTGCGGTATTAAGCTTCCCATGAAGGAGAATCCAAGAAAAAACATTAACCTTTCTTGGACACTTCGATTTCCATAATGCAGCAAAAAGATTATTGGCATTGGAGAAGCATTATGCATTCTGCTTAGTGAATTAGTGAAGAAACAGATAACAACCCTGAAGACTCCAAAGACCAAATACGTTGGTCATCCTCTACACTAATTGAAACCATTCTTAAAATGGCCAGAAGATCAGCAAATTCAACTAACTAAAAGTCTTTTAACAATCTCCTTGACCCAACATGCCATGAATGAGTATTACCATGAATTTTTTTGGAAACGAAACGATTCATTGACATATATCCAATACAAACGATTCATGGAAACGAAACGATTCATGAGTATTACCATAAATGAGGGGAGTGTTATATATCCAATACAAATGATTAAATTTACATTAACCCATCAGCTTAAGCTTTTAAATTCATTGGTGGTTTATTCATGTTTAATAGTCGGCTAATTTAGTAGAAATTTTATTAATCAGAAATCTCCATCCAATTCTATTTATCAACTAATGGAAACTAGAAGGAAGAAATGGAGTAATACCATAATCCTGCTTGGACCTTTTTTTAATTATGAAAGAAAGAACTAGAAAGGGAAAAATGAAAAGAAGCTACTGATGCCTGACAAAGGCCATCTCTTTTCCCTTCCAGGATATTTTGCCTAAAGTTTGCACGAATCTTTCATTCTTCGTTTGGACTCAAGAATTACTTCCTCTTGACATTCTGCTCCTAGCTTTCATTGACCGTGATGATGATCCCAATGCTCTACGCATAGTGGTATGCCTTCAAACTCTCTTTTTCTTTTCTAATTTTGACTGCATAGCATAATATGCTACTATATTTTGGAAATATCATTGTGCACGGTATGTCACTGAGTTTGAACAGGTTACATATGTTATTTGGAGATTGATTTTGATATGTTTGGTTCTTATTATTTAGTAAATTTCTTATTAGTAATGTCAAGTATGGACATGCATTACCTCATAATTTATTAAAAAAGAATTTAAATCAATTATGTTCATGCAAAATTTAACAGGTTGCATGATTTTCTCGCCGTTTGTTACTTTTCTCTTATATCTCTTTTGTATGCATCATTTTTTTTTCCCATAAAAAAAAGAAGACTTAGCACTCTAATAGGACTAGACAGTCAGGGATAATATAGTAATTAGCTACATAGTTTGTTCGAGACTTGTTATAAATAAAAGGGATCCGACATTGGGAAGGTAGGCAAAATATTGTGGTAGTTTAGTCTTTGTTTTCAAGGGGGCAAACTTGGTAGTATCTTTCAGTATTTCCTTATTGATATTTCGATAAAATATTCTGTCCAGCAATGTTGGACTTTGGAGTGTTTGACATGTATGGGACATGAACAAGTTATAAAACTAGGGTGCGGCCTTGGTGAAGCTATGATTTCCTTTTTCCTGAAAAAGATGACACATTAAATGTCATAACCTATAGGTGGGTTCGCGTATAGAGGAGTCGAGGACTACCACCCTTGAAAAGACTTCAACCATTTTGGATAAAGAGACTTTCATTAATAAAAGCACAAAAAACAGCCAAAGGGACGGGAGATGAGAAGACCCCCTCCCAAAAGGAGTTAAACGATCAACACTCTCCAATCTTGTAGGATCATAGAGAGGTTGTAGTTACAGAAGAATTTCGAATTTCTATGACACCACCAAGATGCTGTAATATGTACACTATTAAAAAAGAATCAAAAGACTTAGCCTTATCATCAAATAATTGAATAAACAAAGATTTCTTTCTATCCAAAGATTCCAAAGAAGTGCTCTGAACGCGCACTTCCACAAAAAATACGTCTTTCCTTTGAGATGCCAACCATAAAAGCTTTCCATCAGCCAGTCCTCCACCCTCCTCGGCATACAGCCAGCAATCCCAAAAATATCAAACAGAATCTGCCACCCTTTAGAAGCAAAATTACAGTGAAGAAACAAGTGATCTAAAGATTCTACTTCCCTCGGACAAAGGCAGCACGCCGAAGGAGAAATCGACCAGTTTGGGCACTTCTTTTTGAAGCCTCTCAGAAGTGTTTAAGGCTCGGTAAGCTAAGGTCCATAGAAATACCTTCACCTTTTTTGGAATGGAATCCTTCCAAATAAAGTTTATTATGGGGGCTTGAAGTTTTGTGGAGTCGCAATCTATCGGGTTCAGCACAGCAGATTTGGTAGAAAACTGCCCATTCCCTTCAAGGTGCCAAACTACCTCATCTGGATCTCTTCGAGGGCAAACGAGTCCAGCCTTTGCACTAGCCTCACCCAGCTTTCCGTTTCTCTATCAAAACGACCCCTCCTCAAAGCTTGATCCCAAGTCTGATGCTCCTCATTCCAACAATCTTTGACGGAGTATTATGACCAAATTGGACCTCGTAGTATATGAATTGGATAATCAACAGAATACATTATTACTTTTTAAACTTGCAAATTGTCTTTGTACAAAAATAAATAGCAATAATTGATTAGAAGGGATGTGGATGCAATCCTTCAGAATAAATACAGAACATTTGTCTTTCTTTTTTTTTATTTTATTATTATTATTATTTTTTTTAAGAAACGAAGATTGTATTAAGAGAAAAGGAAGGAACAACCTCCTTCCAAAAGAGCAGAGTGGCCTTTCAATCTCGAATAATCATGGCTATACTATAGTTACAAAAGACTTTTCTATAATTGATACACCACAAAGAAGCATGGATCTATACACTATTATGAAAGAAAAAAATGATTAGAAGAAGGGTTGTTGTTAGAAACCCTTTGATTTCTTTCCTTCCAAAGGCTCCACAAAAGGGTTCTAGCTGCACATCTCCATAGAATTTTTTATTTGCCTTTCAGACGCCTCCCATTAAACACTTCCATTACCCAATCATCAACTTTCTTTGGAAGACGGGAGATATTTCCCAGTTCCATCATAAAAAAGAAAAACTCACTTTTGTAAGCAAAGGGATAATGGAGGAAGAGGTGATCTAGACTTTCCTCTTGCCTCAAATAGAGGCTGTGGGCTGATGGAGACAGGGTCCAGTTTATGAGTTTTCTTTGGAGCTTTTCATGGGTGTTCAAACTTCTATGGGCAAGACTCGAAAGGAAAACTTTAACCTTGTTGAAATTCCAGATAGACTTAATCAACGGAGCTTAAATTTTCTGGGAAGTTTCTGCCAATTTTTAAGAAAGCTGATTTGGTAGGGAAAGTCTTTGACTTCTCAAGGGACCAATCCACCCATCTTCTCTTGTTTCTGGCCGAAAATTATCAAGTTTTCCAACTTTTCCATTCTCTGTCAAGAATGCCTCTTCTACACCCCAAATACAAACACGATGTTCCTCTATCCAACAGTCTTCACTTCTAAATAATATAAGGATCCTTCAAAAATCTAATTTTCTGCCTATTTTTCACTCTGAAGGTAATGAATTTGAAGAAGGATAAGCTGTTATTTGCTATATCCACCCACGGTCTGCTGTAGCCTTTCCTTAAGAACATTTGTTTATTTGAAATATTCTCTTTTCCTGACTTGATAGTGATATTGTACTTTCTCCTTCATGCTTGGTCAACGAAACTGCTATCAACTGATTTCTTTCTACATGTTATGCGTTGCAGATGAGTCTACTTGATAGACAAGAGCTTCAACAGCGAGTGAAACTATATCGTATCAGTCGGGGCTCCCCTGAACACTGGCTTCACTCTGTAGTGTTCAAAAGAAATGATTTACAAAAGGCTCTTGGGAATCATCTTTCATGGAAGGACAGGTGACTGAGTTATGCCTTGCATAGTTAATATAACAAAACACTTCTTTTAAATCTTAATCAAGACCTGCTTCATAACATCCAGTGAATTATGAAACGTCATAATCAAACTAGTAAAATGGTAATTTTTTCACTAAAAAGGTTAAAATAGCCTTTTTCCCGTTGATGAATCAATTGGCAATTTCAAGGCAGGTTGCTTTTTCTCCTTTTTCCTTTTTTGTTTTCTTTTTTACTTTTTAAAGTGCCTTAGGAGTTAGGTTGCTTCGTTTTTATCTGTGAAGTTTAAAACTTATCTAGGAATTTTACATCTTTAATTCATTCCATTTGTTGGTGACTTCGAAATTCATGATTGATGGTTGTAATTCAATGTTGCTGCGTCATGTTAGGCTTGGACATGGACTATTTTATAAAGGATCTGAGATTAATTATTATCCAAGTCTACTTCATGAACTAATGAATAAGTTATCTGTCTCTAAATATGTAACTTTATTCTCTTTTGTGTGGAAACGTTTTTTTTAGGTGGCTTTGTCTCGGTCCAAATTGTTGAAGCATTTTTGTAATTTTGACCTCAAAAGAAAAGAAAAAGGAAGCCTTTCACATTCATATCTTAACATTGCATCCTTTCCTTTTCATGTTTATTAATTTCTTTCTTCCTTTCTTAGTCATTTACATGAATATATCTTCCAAATATTTGTATTCTTTGCTTCGTTGACTGAGGGTTAATGTGACAACTTTTCACTGAAGCATAGCTTAGTGATCTGCTCACTTCTATTATAAAGGTCTCTTGAATTCAGCCTGATTGTTATCTTCGCCTACATTGTTTTATATCTACCGGCAGAACTCTCCACATATTCTTCAGCTTACACTATCAGGATTCTAATTAGAAAAGTCATCTTGATGTCGCAGGTATCCCGTATTTTTTGACGATATTGCAGCCCGATTGCTTCCAGTAATTCCACTGATAGTTTATAGACTTATTGAAAATGATGCCGTAGATCAAGCTGACAGAGTACTGGCCATGTATTCTCCATTTTTGGCCTATCACCCTCTTAGATTTACGTTTGTCCGTGATATACTTGCATACTTCTATGGCCACCTACCTAACAAGCTCATTGTTCGGATTTTGTATGTACTTGATATCAGCAAGGTAACTTTCTGTTATACTTTTTCACTTGTGATGTACGTATTATTTTTAATTTTTATATTATTCCTTATTTCCTGTCATTGACACCAAATTTGTTTCAGATTCCATTTTCTGAGTCATTCCCTCAACACATTGGGTCAACTGGTTCTGTCATGTGCCCACCTATGGATTACTTTGCTACCCTCTTGTTGGGGCTAGTAAATAATGTTATACCTTCGTTACAGACATTAAAATTGGGAACGGCAAGTGATAATTCAAGTAATTCAATGCGTCCATCACACAACAAAGCCCCTGGAACAACTCCACCGGGGGCAACAACCGCTCCCGAGAGCCAGAAAGCATTTTATCAAATTCAGGACCCTGGCACATATACTCAGCTTGTTCTTGAAACAGCAGTCATAGAATTACTTTCTCTCCCAGTCTCAGCTGGTCAGATTGTGTCATCGCTGGTTCAAATTGTTGTCAATATACAACCAACACTAATTCAATCAAGCAACAACATACATGGAGGTCCAAATAGCATGGGTCAAGGATCAGCATTACCAACATCTCCCTCCGGAGGAAGCACAGACTCCTTGAATGCCGGAAGATCGAATACCTCAGTATCTGGAATAAATACTCCAAACTTTGTTTCACGAAGTGGGTATACATGCCAACAGCTTTCGAGCCTGATGATCCAAGCATGTGGTCTTCTACTGGCGCAGCTTCCCCAAGAATTTCATGTTCAACTTTATCTTGAGGCGTCACGCATTATAAAAGAAACTTGGTGGTTGTCTGACACTACAAGATCCTTAGGAGAACTAAACTCTGCTGTTGGTTATTCTTTGATGGATCCAACATGGGCGGCACAAGACAATACCTCAACGGTTATTGGTATGCTATATGTTATTTACTGATTAACCTTATTCCCTTTGATAACATAGAACTTCATTTTTCTCACATATTGTTGCATTTTTCAGGTAACACGGTTGCACTTCTTCACTCTTTATTCAGTAATCTCCCACAGGAATGGCTGGAAGGGGCCCATGTAATTATCAAGGATCTCAGGCCCATCACATCGGTGGCAATGCTGAGAATAGTATTCCGGATTACGGGTCCACTGCTCCCCAAACTTGCAAATGCTCATAGCCTATTCTGCAAGGTGGGTTAATGACCGTTGTTTATCACAAAAGAAGTTTACGTTTGAGTTAGGCATAAAGTAATTTCTGAGTCATTCTACCGAACTTTCTTTATACATGCTGAAATTAGAAGCGCCCTAAATTTACAAGACTACAGTATATGAAATGTAGTGTGAAATTGGAAGCGCCCTCAATAAATATTAAAAAAATGATTTTTTTAAAGATTCTTACAGTTACAGGTTATTGTTGGATTGTCCGTATGAGATATTGTGAAAAAATTGTAACAGTTATTGCTTGATAAAGTTCTATCTTCCTCATTGGCAGTTCGGGTAGAATTTAGTTTAATCTATCAATGACACATCATTTAGTATAACACAAATTTATTGGTTAATGATATATTTAGATAGGAATTTTATTTTTTGTATTTCTAATTTGATTGAGTGTTCTCCAGACTCTTTCCTCACTTTTGAGTATAATGGTGGATGTATTTGGGAAGAACTCACAAGCATCGGTACCAGTTGAAGCCGCAGAAATAGAAGACCTCATTGATTTTCTGTAAGTGCCAACAAAATGAATGTACTCAAATGGTTTGTTCTATATGCTTGAAGATACTAATATGCTCATTTTGCTTTCCAGCCACCATGTTATCCATTATGAAGGGCAGGGAGGGCCCGTTCTAGCTAACAGCAAGCCCCGACAAGAAGTTTTGGCTATTGTAGGAAGAGCTTTGGAAAATTTGCGTCCAGATGTGCAACACCTCCTTTCCCACTTGAAGCCTGACACCAGTTCTTCTATCTATGCTGCAGCGCATCCAAAGCTGGTTCAAAATCCAGCTTGACCATAGGCTAAACTGGAGTTTCTTATAAAATTGTTGGTTTGGTTAATTGTCATATATTGATTATTTAGTTGGTCTGCAACTGATTTAGTTTGTGCAAGTGGCTTCTATTAAGCTTCTTACTAGTTGTAGATTAATAGGTTATTTTACCAGCCCAGTTTAGGTAAAAAATAGATTGAGATGTACATTAAACTGAAATTAGTGGAAATAACACTTCCACATGAGTTGTGGAAGTTTTCATGGTATCAGGGCCTTAGTGACAAAGGTCGTAGATTTGGTCGGCTCTCTCTCTCTCTGTTTTTTCCCCCCTTCTTTAAACATATCAATGCGTCTTCTTCAACTGACAACATTCAACAACTACCAGAGAATCCTTTCCCTACTAAATTGGTAAAGATGCTTAGTCTTTGATATTTCTTCTTTATAAAATATGTAATCTAGTGTCAGTTTGGCTTTATTATGATTATTACGTTCCTTGACAGTATGAAATCACATTGATCTTGTAATATCATCACTTTTTGGTTTTATTGATGGAGCTAATCATCCTTTTCATCAAGTTTTACCTGCTGCAGAAACAAAGAACTTCTCAAAAGTTGGCTGAGTACTGATAGATTTTGCAAGATCAGGTACTTATGATCCTGATTTATGCAACTCTCTCTCAAAAGGCACTCTCACGTGTGGATGGAGCTACATGTTGTAACAGGTTCGGGAAACACTGAGAAGACTAAAGCATATTGTTGGTCTCTTATCTGAACTACAAGGAATTACTAAAGCAATTATTGCAGAGTGTTAAAAGAACATATATAAAAGATTAAATATACTCTAATCTTTAGCGTGTTTTAGTTTAGTGGTAACTGAATATGGTATTAGAGCGAGAGGTCAAGTATTTAAACCACTACATGTCAATTTCTTTTTTTTGGCAGCCATCTCTACTATGTCATTGCCTCCATAATGAATCTTGATAGTAACCTGTTGTTAGTAACTTGTTGGATCTTGTACTAAATTTTTAACTGACACTTATCAGTTTAAGTAGGTTGAGTGGTGATTCAACTAAAATCTATCATTGGACTGGATTAGTGCTTGCTAGTGTTGCTGAATTTCAACAGTTAAAGAACCAGTTAGGTAGATGTATCTTCCTGCATAGATCTCTTTATGATTTTCAACAAGTATGCTCTAGGCTTGGTTTGAATGTTTTGCAGCAAGCTGTTTTTTATCCTTTGAGATTATTTCTTCTCACATCTCTCTTTGCAGTTATAATGGGTTCTGTTATATATCTTCCTTTATGTTAATGCAATAGTCATTATTAAGAGTGATTTTGTTTTTGTTAAGATCTTATATGATACAGTTGCAGAATACAATTTTTGATGACTGATTTTCGCTCTAAAGAATAGTTGCTGAGATTCGATAAGAAAATTTGCAGTAAAGTCATCAGAGTAAATGTACGAGGGATGTTTTGCTCTTTCTGGTATGGTTAAAGCAAAACTATGTAAGATCCCTTATTCTGCTAAAGTTCCTGTTATGTCATCTCCTTTATGCTGATATTGAAGCGAAATTTATGTTGTTGATGACATAATCATAAATTCATAATTGAGAATTCATGGTAGGGGGCTTAAATGACTTCGATTTTCATAGCTTGACATGATACTCATTCATTGTAGGTATGAATTTCTCCTAATTTGCTAGTTGTTACCGTAGCTAAAAACGTACGAAAGGTATCTTGTTATTACAGTTTCCTATTCAAATTTGGTTCTCTGGAATCTCAATTCATATTTTGACTCACTTGGTTTGTTGAGAAGTGTAATTGTATTGTTTCACTCTAGTTTATTTTTCTTTAATTTAGTCCAATTATAATTGTTTGCTAAGAAGCAACCAAGTATTTCTCAAAGTTCAATAGTGGGTAAAACAATACAGTTGATTCAAAATTTTATGGTTCTTCAAGTCTCGTGGATTGTCATTTTATGATTATTTAACTTCGGAATACCGACCACTAACTTAGATGTTTTGTTTTTGGTTGAGAAATTTGTTGTTTGATAACATTATAAACGATGAGGTGTCCTTTGGTATAGCGGAGCAAAGCTCTTACTTCCGATATAAAAAAAAAAAAAAAATCACCCACTAGTCAATCTTTGTCGAGAGCTAAGTTTGTAGTGAAGAATTTGCAAACAACAAATGTTCCATTCTTGAATTTAGTAATCAATATCAATTACAATATCACTCTGGTTTTAAAACATATTTTGAGATTTTTTTCAAGAATCTTATTTCAAATCATTGTAACCACCTAACTAAAATTTTTAATATCCTATAAGATTTTTTTGACAATTAAATGGGGTAAGAGCAATCATCTTACGAGGTTGGTTAAAGCACGTGCAAATTAGCCTGAAAATGGGAGATCAGAAAAATCCATATATATCATGGTAAAATGCTTTGTCCACTGCCCAGAAAAGGGTATTTTAAAGTGTTAAAGCTTGAAAGAATGAAGTTGCTTCTCACCTTTAAGAAAAAAAGATTACAAAGAAAAGCAACAACCACATCAAACCCAGAGCTGCTGAAGGTTAAATGTACATACAGGCACTGTTCTAAGTGATTTAAACTTGCGCTGGATGAGCCACAGCTGAACTGCTAACGAGCGGTTCGATAATCTCAAGGAGTTCATTACGCAAACCTGTGAAGACAACTGAATCTGTTTCAATGGGTCTAAACTTGACCAGAGCTGAGGGGACCAACTCCTCATCATCTAGAGTTTTAGCCTTCTGTCCTACGGGAAAATGACTGATCGTACGCCGTTTAACACCAACTGGATGTATCAACTCGAATTCCAAACCGGGTTCTTTCAGTGCTGAGCTCACAAACTGCCAGGGAAACAGAAGTTATCATTCTCCATTCTAACAACCGTGGACGATACATCACCTTACGGAAATCGTGCATTACAGGCAGATATATTCAGCAACAGAAACCGTGCTTGAATACACAACTACCCGCATAGAAAAGATCGATACGTTATGACTAACAAGACTTAAACCAAAGGATGAATCAGAAAAAAAAAGATTTCCACTCTGATATCAAGGCCACCCTACACTTACACTACACCAAACAATGATCAACCTACTGCGGAATCTGCTCTTTATTTCACTTGTTATGTTAAGCAACGTATAATTTCTGAATGGACTAGTGCCAAAAATCAATAATAAACAGGAAGGGAGGAGATAATATGTCCTGTTTTAATCAGATATGTCGGTAATATTTCTGTAATACTAATAAACAATCTGTCTTGAAACCACTTTGACGATACTTGAAGCATGAATGACGGAGAAAAAACATCACACAGTAAGTTCAAGTGTCTAACTTCATCTTATAAAGAGACAACTGAATAGAGCTAACCTCATATACAGCGCTTGTTGGTTCCCGAGGAGAAAAAACACCTTGAAGTACCACGCCGTCGGGAAACTGAATTCTGATAACTGTTCTTGTGTACTTTCTCCGAGCAGCTTTTGCTTGTTTCTCCTTGTATGATTTAGGAACCAAAAACTGAGATTCAGCAATCTTTTGCTTCCTCATTATAGCTTCTCTTTTAACCTCTTCAACAGAGAGGTTGTAGAAGGAGTCTGGTAGCTCGATGTTTGCAGCAACGTTTTCAGGGACAGCAAAAAATACTCGAGTCTGGTAATTTAAGTTGTCCAAAACATCAGCAGAGGAAGTTGAGAACAATAAAGACTTGAGTAAAATATCTTGTAAAAGAGTTCACTCAGTTGCTCAAGGGAATGTTCTAAATCTAGACTGAACATCTTCATCCAAGTTTATTTCCAGAACATATTTGGGAAGCTTCAATTATAGTGACTTCAGCCAGTTAACATGATTGAAGTCCCTACTAAATAGACAACTCAAACTATGCCATTTCCCCAATAAATAGGAATTAAATATCTGATCAACAGGAGCATACCCCTTTTTAAGATGCAAATCATGAGGCACATGGGTCATAGAGCAACAATTTTAAGCTTCCTATTCTGATTTTTGCATAAGCAAAAGGCCTTCATTTCGACCTTGTCATTGTAGCTCCCAACTTCACATCAATGAATTTAGTTCATGAGAATTTGGTTAAAAATGTATTATTCCTTTGTAGATAAAATAAAAGTCGGTTGCTAAATAAATACTCTGAATCAATTGTAA